GGTAATAGTGGCTGGTGACTTTAATGCTTAACTAAGTAAACTAAGCGAAAGGGGAAAGACACCTGGGTGGATCTTATGGTGTCGCGGCTCAAAGAACAGATAACGACGACCGTCTGTGGCAGCTATGCTCAGATAACCGCCTGTTTCTTGCAAACACTAACTTTAAGCATAAGGATAAACATCTTTTGACATGGCGACCCCCTAATTCGTCCCAACGCTGGACCCAAATAGATCACATCGCTATCACCCACCGATGGAGGGGCTCGATAGAAGACTGTCGCTCATTCTGGTGCACATGCTTAGACTCAGATCATGCTCTAGTGCGAGCGCGTATTTGTCTACGTCTTGCTGGACGTAGGAAACATGCTGCAAGGAAACCCCTTAGGGTCCTACTTAATGATAGTCAACTTACTTACTTACTTACGCCTGTTACTCCCAATGGAGCATAGGCCGCCGACCAGCATTCTCCAACCCACTCTGTCCTGGGCCTTCTTTTCTAGTTCCATACAATTCTTGTTCATTTTTCTCATATCTATCTCCATTTCCCGGCGTAATGTATTCTTTGGTCTTCCTCTCTTCCTTCGACCTTGAGGATTCCATATGAGGGCTTGTCTTGTGACGCAGTTCGGTGCTTTCCTCAATGTGTGTCCTATCCACTTCCAGCGCTTCTTCCTGATTTCTTCCTACGCTGTGATCTGATTTGTTCTCTCCCACAGTAGGTTGTTGCTAATAGTGTCCGGCCAACGGATCCGAAGTATTTTGCGTAGACAACTGTTAATAAACACCTGTATCTTTTGGACGATGGATTTCGTAGTTTTCCAGGTTTCCGCCCCATACAGTAGAACTGTCTTGACATTTGTATTGAAAATTCTGACTTTGGTGTTGGTTGCTAATTGTTTTGAGTTCCAGATATTCTTCAGTTGTAGATATGCTGCTCTTGCTTTGCCAATCCGTGCCTTCACATCTGCATCAGATCCACCGTGTTCATCGATGATACTGCCCAAATATGTAAAGGTTTTTACATCTTCCAAATCTTGTCCGTCAATTGTGATTGGATTGGTACATGTTGTGTTGTATCGAAGAATCTTGCTTTTCCCTTTGTGTATATTGAGACCTATTGCTGCTGAGGCTGCAGCTACACTGGTTGTCTAATGATAGTCAAGCTAAGAGTATATTTCAGGAACATCTAGAAAAACAGTTAGACAGCCATGTAAGTGATGCTCACTCCGAGGCAGCGTAGAATGACATCCGAAAAGCTGTAGAAACAGCAGTGATGTCTGCAAGTACGGTAAACCACAAGGTTAAGGAGAAACACTGGATCTCAGCAGCGTCTACCGCACTGATAGATGCTCGAAAACTCACTCCATGTGGCTCTGAACATAACGAAGAGCGGAGTCAGCTTAAGCGTAAGCTGACCAGAAGCCTACGCAATGATCGTGAACAGTGGTGGGTAGCGAAAGCAAGAGTGATGGAAAAGGCAGTGGCAATAGGTAACAGCAGACAACCGTTCAGACTTGTTAAGGAAACCGGTATTAGGAACCCGACTGTTAGCGAAACAATCTCAGAGAAAGATGGACATATTATTCATCCTCAATCCAGGAGATTGGATCGATGGGCAGAACACTTTAAGGATCAGTTCAACTGGCCTTCAGTCACACTTCGGTTTCCCACGATCTCCAGTCTACTTGAATGGCAAGTTAATGTCAGTCCTCCGACTCTTGACGAAGTTGAAAAAGCTATAGGAAATCTGAAGCGTGGAAGAGCAGCAGGCCCTGACAGGTTTACCCCTGAGATTTTTAAAGACGGCGGTCCAGTATTAGCAGCGAGATTGACTGAGGTCTTAGGTAGAATCTGGGAACTGGACGTAATCCCATCTGATTGGTCTCAATCACTGATTGTGCCAGTCTATAAGAAAGGACAAAAGTCCTCTTGTGACAATCACAGAAAAATCAGTTTGACTGATATAGTGTCTAAAATATTAGCTTCAATATTACTTCGACGCCTAACCAAAGCTCGTGAAGAGCAGACTAGAGGAAACTAGGATGGTTTTCGACCTGGACGTGGTTGTATAGACCAAATATTTGTAGTGTCTGTCATTATGTTAAGCCCAAATACCTTATTATTCTAACTTTCGGACAGCCCATTCTATTTGAGTCACATTCTGACCTTGTTAATTATTCGCTTATCAATATCTTGACTGTCTTTGTATGAGCGCGTAGGCGTATGTACACTTTTTATGCCGTTACTCATCACATGTCTGTAATTTATTTTTGTGTGCTTATAAATATTGATTAACTCTTTGTTAAAGGAGAGTTGGCTTACCAGCCATCTCCACCACTCGTCAATTTTGCTTCGCTTTCTTCTCTTCGCGTCGTTCTCCCGTTCGTTTGTCTAATCAACAATTATACGAAATATATGCATTCAAAACTCCATTCTCGTTATATGACTTATTTAATTCCGTTATTAACTAACGCGATTTAAGTCAATGATTATATACGAGGATAGGTAATAGCAAACATTCATACAATCATACGATCAAATTGGAGTCAGATTAAGGGCCACTAAATATTCACACTACGTCAGGTCCTAGAACATAGACACACATTCAGACGCCCCACAGTAGTAGTATTTCTCGACCTTAAGGCAGTATTCGACTCTGTTGATCGTGGGGTTCTATGGCAGTGTTTGTCACTGAAAGGAGTACCAAAGAAGTACATTAACCTTATAAAGGCTCTCTACTTGAATACAACTGGTCGAGTGAGAGCTTATGGCGAACTGTCATCAGAACTGACTACCTCAAGTGGTGTTCGTCAGGGCTGTCCACTCTCTCCATTCTTGTTTAACTTTGTCGTTGACGTCCTTTTAGAGATGACACTTTCCTCAACTAAATTTCCAGGAGTTGAACTTCTACCGAAAGATCCACTTTTTGACTTAGAATATGCCGATGACATAGTTCTATTTGGTGAAGACGCTGACAGAATGCAGAGTCTGCTGACCACTCTAAGCAACAATGCAAGCATGTTCGGCATGCGATTTTCTCCCTCGAAATGCAAAATGTTGCTTCAGGATTGGGTTGCACCGCCACCCGAACTAGTGATAGGGAGTGAAGTGTTTGAACGTGTCGACCGCTTCACTTATCTCCGAAGTCTCATCAGACCTTGTGGTCTGGTGTGTGACGAAATCTCAGCACGGATACAAAAGGCTCGACTAGCTTTTTCCAACTTGCGTCATTTGTGGCGTAGGCGAGATATCCGTCTATCAACCAAAGGACGTGTTTACTGCGCAGCAGTTCGTTCCGTCCTACTTTATGGAAGTGAAATATGGCCAGCAAGAGTAGAGGATATTCGTAGGTTACTAGTATTCGACCATAGGTGTCTTCGAAACATTGCTCGTATATCCTGGGACCACCGAGTAAGTAATGCAGTTGTTGTGGAACGGGTACTAGGTAAGGATGGCAAATCAATTGATGAAGTAGTGAACGCCATCAGTTGAGATGGCTGGGACATGTGTTGCGCATGCCTGACCACCGACTGTCCCGACGTGCTATGTTTTATGGTGTAGGAGTAGGTTGGAAGAAAGCTAGGGGCGGCCAGACCAAAACATGGCACAAATCCATGAAGTCACTGACAAGTGGACTGATTCATGTTGGTAGGTGTAGACTACCTGGTTGGGGACCGCGAGACGATAGCAACCGATGGTTAGAGACCTTGAATGACATGGCTCAAAATCGTTTGCAATGGCGCAGGTGCATCCACTCTTTGTGTTCTCTCAAACTCCAATCTTCTAAATTCTTCATGTCCTTTATTTTCTTTCCAAATTTATTCCACTGGACTATACTCCTTTAATAACATCATCAAACCCTAATGTTCGCTATCACTACTTATACTTTCACTACCTCTACCACTATGGGATTTGAATCGATAACTGAATCTCTGTGCTAATGTGGTATGGCAACTCGAACTGATGTACGTACGTACGAAGTTCCACGTTGTTACTGACTGACCCACTAAGTTATGGTTTCATTTAGTTAAATAAAGGAGTAACAATGTCATCAAAGTAGTCAAGGGTTAACTATTGATTTTTGTATTCAAAAATCACACGTGAGTCTTCTAACTGTTACCGCTTCTGTAAATTTAAGAAATGTTGAATCGAATTATTCATTGAACAGGAATTAATCAAATCCATATTGTGCTCAGTATCTAGTAAATATCGTGCTAATAAATTATGCAAGCATCTTTCTCGTAGGCGTAGATTTTTTGGATTTACTATTTGATTGAGATCCGTACGATTATTGTAACTAAAATAAATCAATATATTTGTAGTATTCCAATGAGTAGAAAAATTATGTTTTCTGACGTTTCGTGACTCAGTGTAAGCCACTTCTTCAGGGAATAAATAACCAAATTAATCCAAATTTAAATAGTACAACGGAACAAAAGAACATTATGTGATCAATCAAAAAGCAGGTCTGAACACAAAACATTCTTGTTTTGTTCCGTTGTACTATTTAAACTTGCACTAATTTTGATTTGCTTATTCACTGAAGAAGTAGCTTACACTGAGTCACGAAACGTCAAAAGATTTATGTTTTCTACTCATTAGATTATCACAAATATGTGAATTTATTTATAACAATCTACCCAATATTCAATTTATTGATAATTATCAAGTCAAACCTTGATAATGATACCTATTGTAACAAAAAGTTGGAAATCCTGGACGGAATGGCCTAGAAGATACTACAATAGCATAGTTACATTCATTATTTATGTACCTTTAAATCTCAAGTTCCAAAATTATTTTCTGATTTTTTCTTCATGGATTCTATCTTCCTACTCGAATAATATGTCTAAGCTTAATGTTTTCTGCTACTGCACATACTACTACTACTACTACACTGGGATTTTTCTTCATAAATTTATCGTTCTGTACTAATATTTTGCGGTAGCTTAAGCATATGTATTAAGTTTTTCGTTGCTTATGATTGACTAGTAAATAAATAAACACTTCATAAACGTTATTTTACCAAGTAAGTGACTATACGAAATAAATAAGGTTTACAATTACTCATTGTTACCATAGTTTGAATTCCACATACCGTATACAATCATCAATACAAATACCAGAAACATAATTATAAAAGACAAAAATAAGAGTCAAGGTAACACAAAACTGAACATTTCACAAACGAAACAACAGTCAATTTTAGTAAATCAGGAACTAAAATAAATTTTTTTAATATTTCCATTTCACTATATATATATTTTTTTCGAAATAATTTTACAAGAATTTTATTGAACAATCAAACCGTAACAATCATTCCATTTCTTTTTTTAACTCCGATTTTATTTTGTACAGTTTGTTTAAGGGAGAGGGAGAGTGTGTGTGTGTGAGTGACAAAAAAAGACAAATAAATACGTTTACAAAGTGTATTCATTTATTATTCGTCTGTATTTTTACGAATTGTTTCGTGTACAGCACTGATTAAAATTTCCAATTCTTCCTCTGTTTGAGGTTCACGAGATGATCTATCAGCGCCAGAACCTTTTATTCAATACAGAAATATGAAATGAGTTATTAAAGTATAGAATTGACAATAAACTAATGATTTTAATGTAATTTTCATAAGTAAACTATCATATTATATTAAGTTGAAATGATAATAATTCTACGATATGTGATAGTAGCTTCCTTATTTTTAATTTGATAAAAATGAAATATGTAGAGCAGAATTGACAATACAAAAGTCAAACATTTGGAAAAGTATCATTAATTAACTAATATATCAAATTTTATAATAAGTAAATAGTTCATTTTATTATGAAAACTAAACTGAAAATGAATATATATTATTCTTTTTAAAGAAAATACAGAACTGATAAACCTCGTAAACATATTACAATTTTGTTTTGAATAAAAACTTTTTTGCATGATTAAGAATAATATTCAATAATATAAAAAACCTCAAAAGTTTATCAAATGACATGGTGTCCAATTGAGATGATAGAGAGTTCAGTCAGTCAGTCAACTACAACGTAGGACCACGCATATATGTGCATCGGTCCAAGTCGCCATACCGCATCAGCACAACAAGATGAACACCACATTCATAGAAGTGGTTAATTCAGTGATGGTAATATATAAAACAAAGATTGCATATAAGGATATAGTACAGGAAGAAATGATTAGTTCATAGAAAGAAAGATATGAAGCGATTTTAATCTCTTAGATTAAGGGAAGACAGAGAGTGTATACACCCACGCCATTGTGATCGATTCTGAACCATGTCACCAAAAGTCTCCAAACATTGGTTACGATAGTCACGCGGACACAACCAGGCAGTCTGCATCTATCAACATGACTAACACCAGAAGTTTGTGACTTCAAGCACTGATGCCACGTTTGGGTTTGGCCGCCCCTAACTTTCTTTCAACCATCCCCAACACCGGTCAGCAGTGAGCGTCGTGGTAGTCGGTGTTCAGGCATACGCAACACGTGGCCCAACCATCTCAGTCGATGAAGATTCACAACCTCATCAACTGATTTACCACCAGCAGATGCGAGCAATATTTCTAAGGCATCTGTGGTCAAATACTAGTAACTTACGAGTATCTTCGACTCTTAGTGACCATGTTTCGCAGCCTCAAAGTAAAACAGAACAAACTGCTGCGCAGTATACTCGTCCCTTAATTGACAGACGGATATCTCACCTTCGCCATAGGTCACGAAAGTTGGCGAAAGTCAAACGAGCTTTTCGAATCCTTGCTGAGATTTCGTCAGACACCAACCCATTACAGCTGATCAGACTTCCGAGGTAAGTGAAGTTGTCAACGCGTTCGACTACTTCACTCTTTATCCTTAGTTCAGGTGTTGACGCAGGCCAGTCCAGAAGCAACAACTTGCATTTAGAAGGAGGGACAGTTTCAGGGGTGAAACAGAATATTTTTTAAAAAATTTATTTTAAGTCGATCAAATAAAATACTCGATCTATTGTGAGATATTAATTTAACTTATAAATACTAAAATGTATAATTAAATCAATCTGAATTCTTAATGTTTGTAATGACCGTGAGAAATATCGACAGGTATCCGTGAATATAGCAGAATGCTGAGAAACAATCAAGTTAGAAATTATCCTACTTTAGATTATGATTTGTCCTGTAACATGATAAGAATAACATTCTTGAACAATTTACACTGTTACTGGACTAATCAGAAAAAAATCACTTAATTATTTTCATATTGCAATTTTAGGTTGTCTAACGATGTATGTAAACTACGTAAAATATTAATCCTTAGTAGCCACAGACCATGATTTGTCTTCTGATATTTAGCGGGTCTATGATACAAGATTCTCGGAAGTAATCATATTTCCTCTTTATTTGTATAATATTAGCATAAATCCATTTTTAATATCGTGTTCCGTTTGTTTAGTTAAATCATTATTATTAGAACATTTGAATCATTTTCGAGAAAACTCTGAGTTAGCCAGTCAAAATCAGTGTACGATTCAATATACATATAGATCAGTCAAAGTTACCACAAATAAACTATGAAATGAATTCACACTTTTAATTATTGTTTAAAATTTTCAGAAGAGGTTTTGTGGAGATTTTAGTAATTTCGATAGATGAAATCGTGGGTCGATTGAAGCTGAGGAGTCGTATACTAGGACGAAACGGCCGTCCAGTGCTTCCAGGTTTTCCATGGTGGTCTAGCTTTAAGTGACTCATGATCTTAACTATTGGAATTGTTTAAAATTTCTTGTAAAATAGATTAAGTGTAGACGGGTTGATGTATGAGATAATAAGTAAAATATATTGTAATACGACGAATAGTACTACTAACTCGTTCATTTCGAAGCTATATGCATGTCACTTTGAATTGATGACAATGAGCTTGAAAATCATGCTTATGAATTCGAAAGACTATCGAAATTGGTCATTTTGAGTATTTTTTTCATAACTTCAAAAATTTAAAATGTTACATTACCATCTAAATAGTAATTCACCAAACTTATAAAAATAATAATAGCTTGTTTTGAACTAATTTCGTCGCACATACCTCTTAATCTGAAGCGTTCCTCTTCATCTTTATTATATAATTTAATGATAGCATTTTTCCAAATATTGAATTCAGTTAATAGTTTTTGTCGTTTCTCAAGCAATTCTCTGCTAGCCTTTGAAGCAAGCATACGATCTTCGTTGGCTAGTTGTGAATTATATTTTGCCATATTCTTTTTAATAGCCTATAACACATGTGTTAAACAACAAGGAAAGAAGTACCCAATGAAAATTAGTCAATTGGTTCCAACAAAAGATAAAAAAATAACAAGCGTCAAATACTTGTATGTGATGCCCAAGATAAAAAAAATTCCGTTGATTTATTAATAAAGAATCGAATTGCAACAAACTAATGATAATGATCCAACTCGATCACCAGGTCCAGTTTTATGTGATTTATGAAAGTAGAAGACATGCGTCAGCTACAAGTATTCTATTACAAGTGCTTTCGAACCATTGTTTGGATACGGTTCGATTACCAAGTGGGCAATTTTTAGGTTAATTGTATGGTCTGAGATGAAGATGCTAAATTGAATCAAATAACAACTATTCACTGCTTTGGATGATTTTGACAAGTAGTAGGCACATTCAGTCACTGTCTGTCTACACTAACATGTAATGGTAAACATCGAGAAAGTATTCCTCCATGCACTCACCGACAGATAAAGTATGTCATGATAGTAGATGCAGATTTTCTGGCCGGAATCTATGGGGATAATAATAATCTGCGATTTAAGGCGTTTTTAGGCACAACTCAAACTTGGTCATATTAAAGCAAGATACGTTTCGTCATCTTTTTAATAGTGAACATGACATTGGTTCACACTTTCCTTCTCCAATATCATTGTTTTCTCTTGAACGATTTCTTTTATGTTCAAATAGTTATTATAATACAAATTATAGTTATTTCTCACCTGCTTCTAATTTTGGGTGTTTCCTCTTTTATTGTGCTGATGAGTATTGCATGTATATTCATGTTAGGTTTTGTCCTGTTATCCAGATTTGACTGGACTTTCTAAACAATCAAAGACTAACTTTTTTAACAGACAGAATTTAAGAAATGCGATTCTTTCATCGACATTGAACTTTTATATATGAGAACTATATTAAATACTACTACGCTACATTATTATTCACAAGATACTAACTGATATGCTGATTTTCCTACAACAGTCAGCCTCCTCATGTCTGATTTGTGATTCTCTAACCATATTGAAAAGAAAAAACCCATATTTTAATTATACCCAACATACCTGAAGCTGTTCAGCGCTGAGTAGCGTAGGTGGTCGTGGTCTCCAGATGAAAGTGCGAATTCCACGCAAGTTCATTTTATACAAGCAACGACCCACACAATTCCAAAACCATATTGCATTATCATTCTTCTGATAGAAACTACTTACTGTTGTCGCTATATACCTTCCTGTAGGATCCCATTGTATATCACTAACAGTTGGATGTTCTCCCTTAGCTAAAATCTGACCTTCATTTGCTGAAATGAATTCCAGTATACCATCAGCACTAAATTTTTAAAAAATATGCCCAACAATGAAAGGTAAGCCAAATACAACCCAAGTTATGACTTGTTAAAACTAACTGAAGAATGAAAAAACTGGAAACTGTCTCAGTAAGTTAACAGACTGAAAGAATTCGTTATACCATAACCAAAAACATTCACAATGAATCATGGCACAAACTCTTAAACAACACTTCCTAGATGATAATATAAAATTCATAGATAAATTCTTTCAAATTGTAATCGATGCCATTATATAATTATTACGTAACGTATCTCTACTCGATGAGTATTATTTCATTATTGTAAATCATACATAATAGTGAAGTAGCATGATGAAAAACTGATTGAAAAGAAATTTCTTCGCTTGATTCGTTCCTTCTTTATTTACCAAATGTCAAAATGGGAATTTTCACCATAAATTCACTACATTGTGATAAAGTTAATAATCTTTCAGTTGAAACACTGAAACCATCACAAATGTCTTTTTTATAAAGAACAGTGTTGGAAGGCAAAGTAGCTGATGCTTCAAATGATGATGGTATTTGAGAAGAAAGAAGGTTATGATAGAACTTGAATTAATGATGTGGAAATTAACAAGATTATTGATGTGTGGGCGAGAATGATAATGATTGGTTGTTTACTTAGTCAGATATGTCGATAGTCTGATAGGTGTCAGATGAGTTATATATTCCCCTATCCTTATAAATATTATTATTGATTGTTCATTTTTGTTGGATTGTGTTAGGTTTTTGGTGTGGAAAGATATTTACATTGTGGTCAGGTTGGTCACGTGTTCTTGATCTGAGTTGTGTTGAAGTCTTGTAGAATATACACTGGGAGGGAATCTAGTATAGATGTTCGTCTAAGGTAAATTTACGTCCCATACGTGTAAACGTGGAAAACCAACCGTTATAACAATTATCAATGGCAGAAATATCAGTAGACTGGATAATCAACTAGGTTTCCGTTTGACCTATGGTAGACCAACTATAAATCATTAAAAATAATAAGTTTCTAAGACAAGTCTTTAGACTCATACTATATAATTATAGCTATGTTAACTCAAACCCATAAGTTTACTGAAAGTCACAATAATTTTCCAATACCGTCTCGCATATTAATTCGTTATAAGTTACTCAATATTAAAACTTCTATTTCACTAGAATGCAAGAAGACCGATATGACTGCATCGTCAATTGTTCAGTTGGAAACTGACAGTAAGTGTAGAAAGTCGGCAGATTTAAGTGATACAGACAGTTACCATCCTAGCCACATCGTATTCTTTCGAATTACTACTAGTCGATTAGTATCCTATTCACCATTATAATAACTATATAATGCTGATTATAGCAAATAAAAAATCTAGATGGTCTAATTAATAGATAACCAGTTACATTAATTGTCACCGAAAGTGGGTTCCCAACTTATATATATATATAGGTATTTGCCTAATGGAACACAGATGCGAAAATCTCAGGATTTTTTAACTACACTTGTGCAATTATGTGTATAAATCAAAAACTAAAATAATCTAGCCTAGTTCAGATGCTTGAAGAAAATATCTTTCTTTGGGAAATTGTTCATTTGCATGGGATTTTAACAATAATTTATATTCACCTTCTTAAACCTGCTGCTACAATAATTCCACCCTTAGATGACCAACGAAGATCATTGGTTCGAGGTGAAGCAAGATCAAGAACAGTAACTTCACGAATATTAGTTCCACGAGATACATCATAAATCGCTATTGACAATTTTCCACTTGTTACAGATTGTAAGAAAGCGAAACGTGTACCACAAGGTTCCCATTGAAAATTCGATACAGTGCCTTTAACTTCCAGCTGATCAACAGGATATAATTTTTCTCTTAAACGAACTATTTCAAAATTGGTGTAGGTACCCTGATAGTAAAAGAAAAACGAATTAGATCATATCAAATACTAATTAGAAAACTATACACATCCCCATATACAGTGAATTGGTGAATCAACAAAGGCGACACAAATATTCATGTCTGATATGCAGTCAAACACTTACTGCAATTGCAGTTACATTATCGTATTCTGTTATAAAAACTCAAGCAAGTATATGATTGTCTGCTAAAACATTATTCTACAGGTATATAATAACAATTATGCTAAGATATTTTGTAAGGTGAAAAAGTAGTTAATAAATACTTTTATGGATTATTATCACTGAAACAAATGTTCATCAAAGTTAAAATAATTATTTTGACGGGACTAGGGGGTAGAGTAAGTGAAAGACATTAAATGTGGAATTTAATTTTGAAATAATCTCAATAACAGGAATTCAAATTATTCCAATGTTTTGCATGGCTTTTTCAGGTAAGTAAGCGATTATTTCCCTGGTGAAGTCCAGGCTATGTTATCTGGTGAAACGTTAGAATTATTTTAAGCATGGTTTGCACGTTTAATGTCTTATTATCACTTATTCCAAAAACAGATTAGCAATATTTTACATTTTAAAATAAGAAGTCAGTCACTGAATTTCAGAATGAAACCTAATCAAATAAAGTTTTCAATTAGAACACAGTAAACTATTGGTGAAAAGCTAAAAGAACATCAACATGGTGGAAATGAGTCTGAAGGCCATGCTTATTAAAATTTGTTGATAACCAGCGACAGGCCTCCAAGTAATTACTTACAAAATGTATAAGATAAAGGTTCTTTTAGTAAGCATTAATTTGTCGCTCGATCATGAGTTGGACAAGTGCAGCAAGTTTGTTCAACAACAAATTTAAAATCATGGTTTTCGCCTAAAACTCATGAAATACTAGCTTTATTTACAATCAGTTAAGTACTAGCAGATCATATTTAATAACTGAACAATTTTTTTTACTGTAAAAACATTAGAGCTATTTAAAAAATATCTAAACCTCTGATATGACTTCGTAAGAATTAAGCTTGATAGTTACACACTAACTCCGTTAGAGGATGGATGACTAATAGGCTCCATATGGTAGAATCAACTTTTTAATCAAAAAGGTTATTCTACTGAACAACCGCCTTATCTTCTGATATCAGTTTAATCGGAGGCATAAGTCAAAAATTCAGTCTTATGAGCAGTCATCACCCAGAGGCTTGATAACTGTCTAAACCACATATCGACCAGCATATTGGGGGAGGAGAAGTATAAGTACCCTCTTAGGCTTTACTTTTGTTGGCCGAAAGTCCACTGTGAACAGAAAATTGATGATTCACGTTATTTCCTTATATATATATCGGCGAGCCGTACCGTATTTCTATCTGCTGTTTGAGCAGTAGAAGTCCATTTTGCAAAAAATCGGTCTTCCTTTCGAGATCTACTGATGAACCAAATACAACTACTAAACGTCATCATGTATCGTTAGTTTATACCGAACAAGAATGATTCATAGAACAGGCATCAAATCTGTCTTATAAGTGAACTCAAAATTACTCATAACTATTTAACAAGCACTCACATCTTCAACTATATAACTATCCTCGGTAGCTGTAGTATATATATTCTTCAATGTCTATATTTCTTTTCATATACTGAGGATGAAGTTGGAGAGTAATCCAAGATAGCATGAATTTGTGTTTTATCAGTGTTACGGTGAGTTTTTCGGTTAAATTGTGTGATAGTTGTGTCATATATGACAGTAACCATTTTAATGTAAAAAAATAAAGACGGGACTTTGCTTGAATCCATGAAATTCGAAGCGTCTGAGATTTAAATTTTAAATAACTAATGTGCAGTAGATAAATCTGATGAGGCAAAAAATGGATACATGGTATATATGTGAGGACAACTGTCATATTAGCCAGAATAAAAATCATTTACAATATTCAAAACCTACCACATATTTCACTTGCTTTTCACCGTCCAACTTCTTTTTTGCACACCTTAATACTTGAACAGCTAAAAAGTCACCTTGTTCATGCCATAGAAGACTGATTTCAGCTACGGAAAATAAATTCTTTGTGCATAGTTCCTGACGACTTGGTACTTCCAAAAGAACAACTCTAAATTATTAATTAATGACATTAAATCAGTGAATAAATGTAATATCGTATTCATTTACTTTTTATCTACATAACTTAAATGTATAATTAAAATGGGAGAATTAATCATGTCCGCTTGATTACATCCCTTGCAATTTTAAATTAATAACACAACTTGAAAAGATAAATTTAAGGGTATTTTATTCTGATGTAACGATGATTCGACAGACATTCTAATTGTCTTACAAATACTATAACATAATTACTGCTTAAAGGTTTATAAATATAACAGAAGTATAAAACTAAAGGCATATTCTTTGACCTATAAAATATCAGAGCCGAAGGATCGCAAGAGAACTTATGTTGGAAAAAGATAGCTGTTTAAGGTTTACTTCGTTTTTCAACTGATGTGGACTCATGAAAAATATCTATCTTACAATTAATAAATACCAAATAAATAAGTGAAGGATTGATGAAAGGAAATAAAATTATACTGATGAATATAACCTTAGCACAGATGTTATTGTGAAAATCAAAATAGTTTGTTCGTAACCGATAAGTTAAATCAGCACATACCTGGCTGGAGTATTATCAGATTCAGGTACCCAGTATGCTAAAATATTATCAGAAGGTGACCAAGAAAAATCGCGAATATTGCCCCCAATTTTCTTTTTATCCAAAAGTCTGAAATTGCTAGCACAGTAAATACTAATGGCACCGTCTCGCAAGCAAGCAAAATATTCATCCTTTGGAGACCATTTGAACGCCGGATGAAAATCGATTGGAACAGAGAACTCTCGACGACTAACACAGCGCTTCACATCCCACACGATTGCGTCTGCACGTTCATCGGTGGGAAAGTTGGGGCTTGGACTCAAAGTTATCATAAATCTATCAAGTAAATATGGAAATTAGACAAAATTACAGTAAGTGAATAATAATTAAGAGACAAACTCAGTTTCCTTTATAATTTTAAGATAAGAATTGTTACTTTTTTTACTTCACAAAGTACTCTACTTTAAAAATTGATCTTGATTAAAAAAAAATACTTTCCACTTAATTTAACGGTTATCCTTCAACATGGTATAAATTTTTACACTTGTAAAATCCCTTAACTCAGTCTAGTCCTTAAAGATGCTTTACTGGTTTGTATTAGTATGAATGATTAGTTAATATCACCATTAATCAACCAACTTACATAACACGAAAAAATAGTGCAATTCAGAAATTGCATACCGAACCATAAACCATACATTTTATTTAAAGACTAACAAGAACACAAACTCCGCCTAGAGCCCCCATGGATTACACCCCGCCCCAAGTACGAACAAAGGCAGAGGGATGGGCGTAGGGGTTTGCAACCCCACCTCGTAAAAGAACCCCATGTTAACGGAATATAGATTACATTAAAGCACGTTCCGTGAATTGTGATGAGGTACGCTGATTGGTTATTTCTTATCCAATCAGCGCTAATGGATATTTGGAGAAGACTCTAAAATATTCTCATGTAAAAACTATAAACATACTCACGTTTCTCTTATTGTGATTACTAATAGCATCCAACCTTTTTATTGCGAATATAATTACGTTCCTGTCTAACCGTGTTCTGATTTGAGGACTGGTCGAGTGAAGTAGTGTTCAAGAATACTAAGCAAGAGGAGTAACTGGGCCGTAATAAGAGAAATTATAACACCCCACCATAAAAATGATAACCAGAAAAATGTATCTAAACCATTCAAACTCTTTCCTGGAGGTTGACGAGTTTTCACACAGAAGAATTATAATGCCTCATTGTGAAAGCTGAGAGACCCATTGGACATAATTTGGACAAAAAAGGACTAACTTCAGGAAGGAGTTATTTTATTCTGGTCACGAAAAAAATGTTACACAAGGAGTTGTACTGATGCTCTCCAAAACAGCAGGAAAAGCGCCTTCAGGATGAGAAACCCAGTATTACTAATCCCCTAACGATAGTAGAAAAGACTATAAAGATCGGTCTTAAAAGAAGCTGTAGTTTATCATACAGAGATGCCCAAAAAAGCACCTGATTATACTGATGAAGAACCTAAACGCCGAGGTCGCGATAGTCATCACTGAGTATGAACCCATCATGGGGCGCAAAGGACTAGAACAAAAAGACAAGAATAGTGAGATCGGTAAATCTATGTACTTTTAACAACACGATCACAGGTGGGAGTATTGACCCCCCAAAATACATACACAAGGTTATATGGGTTTCGCCGGGCTACACTACAGAAAGTCAGACTGACCAAATCTGCACCAGTAAAAAATTTAGGCCTTTGAAAGGCGTAAAAACAAAGAGAGAACCAGGGGGAACTTTAAATCACCGCCTGGTAGTTGCCAGGTTAAAATGATGCTTAATAAGTACTAAATAACTGGACGAGAAACACTACAAAAGTATGATAGAGCCTTCCTTCGAGATATTAACAAACTCAATGAGTTCAACATAACTTTCAACAAAAATTTTCGTTTTACAAGATCTACTGGAGTAAGAAACCACCATAAGAAACAACTGGAAATGGACTGTGAAATCAAGAACTTAAACATGGACCCTAAGAGACACTAGAACAAAAAATGGGTCACTTTAGACACGCTGTGAACGAGAAACAACAAAACAGTAAGCAATAATCGAATAATGGAGCATGAAACCAAGGCACATGTTGAATGTACAGAAGCAGACAAAAGGGTGAAGAGCATTAGAGACGACAAATAGGTGTAGAAGATCCAGCAACTCTACAGCAGAAAAAGCACGAGAAAGAGATATGAAATAACCAAATAATGCAACCAAAAAGTTTGCAGGGAAATACAGTAAGGCAGAGCACAACCAGATAGCACTTCAGCTGAAGCACTGAAGTCAGATATATAGATAACTACAAGGATGTTTCATGTTCTCTTTAGAAAAACTTAGCAGGAAGAAGTACCAAAAACCAGGGAAGGATACTTCATCAAAATACCGAGGAAGGGTTTTAGTAAATCTGAGGACTGCAAAAAGATTATGCTGCTTTCAATAATCAAGCGAGGGTATTCATAGACAGAACGAAATATTTGGTCAACTTTGAGATCAACAAGATAAATTTCTTAAAAATCGATTGTGCACCGACCAAACTGCGACATTGCAGAACAATCAGTTGAGTGGAACTCAACGCTATAGATCACCATCCTTGACTATGAGAAAGCAGTCAATAGCGTGGATAGGAACTGGAGACAGGCATCAAGATGTTACATAGCACTTGGTAACGGCTGAAAAGGGAAGTTGAGGGCACAATTGGTTGGATATCCCTGGTAGGCGGCCTATTCCCAAAAGGTAGTCGGAACACTTATGTATAGATGCCTGGAAGTACAGTGATGTCCAATCGTATTTAGTTCGAAATCAACTGCGTATACAAGGTCTATTTACCTTAGGATATAAATACAATCCTAAACAATGACTTTTGGGAATGAGACACCTATACCTTTTCTTAGGGAACATGGAAAACTATCCATAAAACGTAAAACAACCTTTGTTGGCCTATTCGCACTTTTTGAAAATGGTCCTTAAGACAGACGAGTTACTTGGCTAAAATTTTAATCTCAGCCAAACGCTTATATTTTATTGATCAAATAGACCTTACTAATTAACAGGATCATAAAAAAATTCCACCGTCCAATCCTCCAAGACTAACTTTCATACAGCTCTTGATCAATACACGTTTTCCCGACCGTTGTTGGTACCTTGACGTGGTGGTCGGGCTTGCCTATCGTGACGAAGCAACTGAGCTATATTGGCTGGAACAACCGTCCCTCAAGGTCCTACCATGCCAGACAGGTCGGTTGAAGAGCGGTAAGACTAAAAGCAACAAATCCAAGGTCCGAAGGCGAAGTCGTACTGCTGACTGTACAGAGGTGTGACAGCAGTAAAGTGTTTCACTCAGACAACCAGCATCTGCAGTGATGCCGCCTTCTCACAAGGAAGGGGTTAGAAAAGGTCGACCCTAAAAATGTCACACCTCGCTTTATCCCACGGATATCCGTCTCCGGCGGTAAGGTCTCGACACGTACGGAGCTAACACAAAAACTACTCATAAAAAGGTCGCGTGTGACCGACCTCAAGCAGTTGTTTCTTGGGCACTGAGGTCACGCTCTCAGGTCACTATGACCACCTCTAACCCAATTTCCTTTTCAGGTACCTCCAGGTGAACCCTTCCACGGTGTGGGCAACCGTGAAGTGATAACCGCCCTCATAACTCTAACAGCACTCAAGACCACTGACTGACTGACAATACACACTTACATCGTTGTCAGAAATCTTGACTAGAGGAATAGAATGAAGTCGAATTCCGAAACCAGTTATAGGTACAAACAAGCACTTAGCTAACATCAAAGCACATAACATCAGGTATGGAATATGAATAAAAATAACAACTTACTGTTCCATGGGTGAAAATTCTATTGTTTTGACACCTGAATGTGGAAAGCGACCAACTCTTTGGAACTTCTCACCGCCCCATAAAATAATACCCAAAGAATGCATTGTTGCTAAATAAGTCCCTCTGGGTGACCATCGCATCCATCCATCAGTCCAATGAGCACGTTCTTCAGCCACGACTGGTTCGACAGCAGTATGCCAATAAACTGATCCAGTTTCACCATCATTGTAGACAACAGCAAACTGGTCCCGACAAAACTCATTCAACAGCCAGCTCTTTAAATTACCCTAAAATTGATCTCTATAAGTTAACAGAATACAACTCACCAAATCCTTATATTCTTGTTTGGGTGGAGGTACCCATTCAGTCGGAACATTTGTTACTCGTTCGAAATCTGACAATAGAGTAACCTGGAAAGTGTGGTTCTTGTCCAGAGGAACATTATTCATGGTCCGAACAGCTTGTGATGCTGCCTTTCCATTCTCGTAGGTAATGAAAATATATCCTTTTGTTTGTTTTTCATTATCCAAAGGGAACTCATGATCTACTATCGGGCCGATTTTCGAAAATTTATCTAGCAAAAACTTTTTAAGGAGCTCGAATTTAGCTGGACCAACAACAGGACATCCATCCACTATAATTGTTGAACCCAGATGGTCTTCAACTTTGGGTTTCTGATCCAGAATATCAGGAATAATTTCTGAAGAGGATAAACAAATAACAAACAGAAAAATAGTTGAATATAGCGTCCAAAATTAAATACTTGAAACGTATTGAATCAATGAAAGCATGAACATCAACCCAAAACTGGTACCGTTAATACCTCTACTATTCTGCAGCTTGGCCCGACAACTTAATCTCTCTGTTGTAATGGGGTATGGAAACTTGAATTGATGTACATACATACCAGGTTCTACGTTGTGACTGACTGACTACTTTACGTGATATCGTTAAATTGTGCACATATACTCACTTGAGATACTTTCTCAACTATGAGCGCAGTTTATATATATATATATATATATATATATATATATATATATATATATATATATATATATATATTAGCCACTAGCCCACTGCTCCGTTAAAATTTGACTAGATAAATTTTAATATTCGATAATGCCATTAGGTCATCTTGTTGTACTAATGAGGTATGGCAACTTTGACTGATGCATATATGTGCCTGGTCCTACAAGTACTAGTTACGAAACTTTTAAACGGCACTGACATTTTTTCCCTTAGCACACCACAAGGTAAGACTTTTGCACTTTCCTAAAATTCTCTTATATGGTTGCCCATTTATAGGTTTCCACGGAAACCCCACTGTTTTTGCATACTGGAGATTTATACAAAAATTAGGTGATGAAGCCCGGAGTCGTCAACGTAAGCTGACTTGATAAATATGGAGGATCAACGTAAGGGAATTTGAAATTCTTGATTCCAAACCAATGATGGATACGAGCTCCATTATCTTAAAAAGATAAAGTGATAACCTGCCGGTTATTAAGGGATCTCATCTAAGGTTGCTTCGCTGCTTTGTGGAAATAATAAAAGGGTTCAGGAGAGATTCCCTAAAGGAAACTACCTTTTTTGATATGGTTGTCTGGATAGCACATTTTAGTGGTCTAAATAGAAAATAAAGCCTAAATGAAAGGACCTGCCTACAACACTGGCAAAACGAAACATTTCACTAGTTCTCTTGTATTTTATTAAGGTATCTTTAGTCCACACGAATGATGTCAAATGAATATCTTCACAACTTAAAATACACAGTAGTCTAACAATACGCTAGACACGTGAACATAGTTAGTCCCGACTAGCCAAACCAGTGATCTAAACGTCTAATCGTGATCCTATCCATTAAAGATGTTTGAAAGAATTGGGCTTCAGCAATAAAATTTCAACCAACTGACCAACTTAAATGAAGTAATATCTCGAGATTTATCAAAATTCATAAGCTTCCTACAATTGGTGGGTGAAATATGTCCTGGAGAACAATCAATACATGCAGGCTGATTTAAGCAAACTGACTCCGGACTCTATTTGTTACGAAACTATAAAGGTTAGATCCGGAATTATTACAGCTTTATCAGTCTTATTTACTGATCTAATCATGGAGACCTGCTATACTGATGATCGACTAGAACCGCAGATTAAAGACAAGGCACATATTTTAACGATAACATTAACTGGTAAAGTCCCTATTCTGAAGACCAAATGAAACTGTGCTTATCTAGCTGGGAAACTGTGCTTAGTGGAGTGCCCCAGGGTACAGTTTTGGGGCCAGTGCTATTCCTCCTGTATGTAAATGACCTTCATCGCTTACTATCATCATCGGTCTTGCTATATGCTGACGATGTCAAGATATGGAGAACGATACGATGTAAGGGTGATAGCTTAGAACTCCAAAATGACCTGAAGAAATTATCCGAATGGTCTCATACATGGCAGCTGCCGATAAATACTTCCAAGTGTATTGTGATGCATATCGGTCATCAAGGTTCAGATACATACACGATGAATAACACTGAGCTACCTGTTGTCCACACACATAATGACTTAGGAGTCATCGTTAGCCAAGATCTGAAGACTACTGCACACTGCCGTGCAATAGCCGCCAAAGCTTTTAGAACTTTATGGTCAATACGTAGGGCTTTTACTCATGTCGACGCTCAAACGTTTTTGACTTTGTATACAGTGTTCGTACGTCCTAAACTTGAGTACTGCATACAAGCGGCTAGCCCCTGCTTAAAAAAGACAGTGAGCTTTTGGAAAAGGTCCAGAGAACAGCAACAAAGCTGATTCCCGTAATAGCGAAGCTTCCGTATAATACTCGACTGGCCAAGCTAAACCTATTCCCTTTGTCATATCGTAGAACTAGAGGCGACTTGATTACAGTTTTCAAGTTGCTTAGTGATAAATTTGCACCTGATATGCCCTCACTTTTCCTGTCTTCCAAAACAGAGAATTTACGAGGACACTCCAAAAAAGTTCACAAGCCCAGAACAAATCACTTGTCAGCTGATTATCGACTTTCCCACCGAATCATCAACGAGTGGAATTCATTACCTCAACACGTGGTTGAAGCTCCATCCGTAGATTCTTTCAAAAGAAAGTTGGATCAACTGAGAGAACACAATTGCCAGGACTAACACAGGCCATCGAGCCTCCTGTCCTATCCAAACTGAAACTGAACTGAATAGATCTCAGGATAGAGAACGGAATATTAACAGCCTACGATAAGGCCTAGGTTGCATTACCACTTGGGCCATCCTATCTTTCGAAAAACGCCTTCCAGTAGTGCTGATACTTATTAATATTTTTGTATTTGGACTGAATTGCCTAACAATATGACCGCTAAATTTGTAAATCCTCAAACTAATAAGCTGAAACCTTATCGTTAACATTACGCTTCACAGAACCAGCAAAGAAAATCTGGAACGCCTAACTCTGTACGACTTAAATGTGACGGGTGGTGGAAAAACATAGCATGGTTGTACAAATTCAATCAACACTACAATACTAACATATGTACATAATTGTAATTTTGGGATATAAGATATAAAAAATGGATCGGCACTGTTGTCTCCAATAACTTTGCTTGAAGTATTATACATAGAGATAAAATGGTACATGTAAGTTGGAGTTTAATTACCCTCATCATCAACGTCCAAACCTGCAAACGACGGCATCGTGAAAGAACTCAAGTTTGCCGGAAACAGGAAACTCAAGGACACTTTCAGTATCTTATTATTATTCCTAATTTTTATCAAGAGGCAGATGAAAATATGGATTTTTATGGTTTAAAAGATAAGGGTGGAATTTCTTCAGGTTATTTACAGTTTAAAATTTCACTCGTGAGATGGCCTTTCATTTCATTTCCAACGTCAGTGTGGCCAACGAGGCAGAGTAGTAAACATCTGATTCCTGAACAGCTCAAGAGCATGTCTTACATCACCAACATGGTGTCGCGTATCCCTCTCAAGGCATCTTTCAAGTGCATTTTACTATGCCTTTTCCCTTTCTTTCCTCATTCTGACTTTCATGTAGGCTATGTATTATTCACTCTCCCTACAATCCCATAGATATATCACTTGCAACCCAACATCTTAGTGACGGTCTGTATGAATGAAGTGATTCCTTAGAGCTCGCTTCTTTTTGTTTCGGTACAAATCCAGGTTCTTGCAATGTCCAACAGGAAACAGCCTGGTCAGTCGTGTAGCTATCTTTGAGTTGTGAGTGCATTTGTCTTAGAGTTTCTGAATGGTTCAAATGGTTGTGGACGGAATAGAAGAAGCCTTCGCTTAGCAGGCTTCTGTGTCTAGTAGCAGGGGATCATCAATACCTCAAGGCAGGAACCTAGGTATATTAACAATAAAAGATAAAAAAAGAAATCGGTAAATCATAGTAAAATACTATCCTTAGTCCTTAAGAACAGACCAAGTCGCCTCTTAAAGGACTCCTGGGAAGTTGCTTGGACTATCTCATCCGGCAGCGAATTCCAGCATTTGACAACTCGTAAGGAGTAGAAGTTGTGCCTACAGTCCGTTCTGCTATGTTGTATCTCCAATTTCTGGGTGTTACCCCTTAGGTTAGTATTGGGACTAAGCTTAAGTAGGTGTTTAAGAGGATGTCCAGAAGTGTTAAGGATACTGTAAACCATAAGAAAGTCGCCTCTAAGACTTCTATACTCTAATGGGTAAAGGTCAAGTGATTGGAGGCGCTCTTCATAAGGTTTAATTTTGAGTTCCTGAACTGATTTCGTGGCTCGCCGTTGGATACACTCCAGAGTGTCCTTATCCTCTTGGAGTGTAGGAGTGAACACTGTTTCCGCACTCTAAATGGGGACGAATAAAACTTGAAGATTATGTGGAAAGTTCTTCCGTCAGACTGACCAAAAATGCGCTTCAGTGTTACCAGTGCAAGGTTTGCTCTAAAGGCATTTCTGTCACAGTTGGCGTAAGACTTTAAGTCGTAGGGCACCAGGACTCCTGAATGTTTTTCGACTCGGGATACTACTGAAGAGGAGTTTACTAAGTTGTAACTGTAGTCGGCGACATGTCGCAGATGGACTACTTTACACTGTGAAGTGTTACGGTAAGTCCGTTGTCGTCTGCCCAACTTTGGAGTCAAGTCAGATCCTCGTGAAGTGCCTGTATATTCTCCTGGTTGCGTATCTCTCTTCAAAGTTTCACGTCATTGACAAAAAGTAGTAAGTCTGACGTTACCTAATGAGGAAGATCATTTATATAAACCAAAAAAAGAGGTGCCAGTACTGAGCCCTGGGGGATTCCACTAGAACATTCCGTAGCCTGAGATAAATTGAAGTTGACCCTTATCTTACAATGTCGATTTTTCAGATACGAACTGAGCCAATCAATTAGAGGTGGGCTGATACCCAATTGTCTGAGCTTATTGATAAAACATATATGGCTAACCCTATCAAAAGCTTTTGAGAAATCAAGTTAAATGATGTCCACCTTCCCCTCGCGATCAAGGATGCATGTTCATCCGTCCACCGCAGTCAGCAGGTTGGTCATACAGGAGTAACCCTTCGTGAAACCATGCTGCTGGAGTGAGAAGAAATTTAAGAACAGTAGATAGTCATGTATACCATCGTATATCAGGGACTCCATGATTTTTGGAGGTATAGAGAGAAGAGCCATCGGTCGGTAACTTGATGGTTCGCTGCGTCGACCTCCTTTGAAAATTGGTGTGGTGAGCCAGCTTCTAATTTTCAGGTAGTTTGCCTCGACTTAGCGAGTATGGGAACATCACGCTAAGCGGTGTTGTCAGGACTGAAGCTGCTTCCCTCACCATATCTGGACCAAGAGAAGTGTCTGTTCGTAGATGCTACAGTTTCCGGTACACTAAGTAGGCGCTCAGGTTCACTACGGAAAGTCCTGTGCAGTTGCAGATGAAGCTGTCATCAGTATAGTTGATGTGGGTCGGTTGAAATGTCCGGGAGTATATCTCATCCAAAAGGTTAGCGGCGTCGCCGTCGTTATCGGTCGAGCCGTTAGGACTTAGCAGTCGGGATACTTCAGTTTCGACTTGACGAAGTGAGGCTGCGTAACGGAATAAGTTTTTCTGATTGGAGACAAATTTATCCATAAGCTTTAACTGGTACTGAAGCCTGTCTTCTCTTATAGCCTTCGTGCATATGTTCCTTATATGTTTGTATTGCCTGTACGTGCTGTTGTTGTCAGTTCGTTTGTATTCTGCCCAACAGTGCCTTTTACGGCTTAACAAATGTCGTCAGACATAATATTGCCAACCACAAGGTTGGTCGATTGCAGTGTGAAAAGAAAGAAGGAAGAAACTGTAATAATGAAGAAGATGGTTTCAAGAACTAAACAAATAAGCACGTAAGTTATGTAATTAATAATGGTGTAACACTGCCAACACGGTAAGATAGAACCGACCTTTGAGTTAAAATTACTAATTGATTGATTGGGTCAATACCTGTAATTGGGTGGTTGCAGTTAATTGGAAGCTAACTAAGCCGAGGACATAAATGCATATCATCGGAGGATTTACTCCGACAACAATTCCAACCGGCTGATCGAGTTACTCACTACATTTTTGGCGAGCCTGTATTAAATAAACCTTGGAATCTCAGTGTGTCTAGAACAAAGAAAACGGATCCAAACGTAAAACCTGAACCTACTAGTCGAACAAAAGACTCTAGTGCCATAAAACAAAAACTATGTGAAGTAATACCAGTACTGAAGGAGAAACAGTCATGTGAACCACATGTCCAATCACCTGAAAAATATCGTCTAGGTGAACCGTTCTCAGTATGGAAGCTAGAATATCGCCAGTTTTTGATTAATTTTGCCAGCAACCGACGAAATTGCGCTTCAGGCAATCTCATTTCTAGAGAAGCATCAATGGAGCTCAAACTAACACGCATCGAAGTTCTACCGACAAAAGACAAATAATCCCCTTGATGAAATGCGATCAGTTTTGTCATGAAAAGTTTCATCATACTCAGTTGAATAAAGGAGAAAGGTCAGCTGCCTTCATTGGACGTCTTCAGTAATTGTCAACATCAGCATTCCCAAATTACTTAGGAAAAAAATTCGAAGAGGTCGTTCTTGATCAGTTTTTTGGAGGAGTTAATTTAAAGCTACTACTAACGTTCATAACTCCGCCTGGAGCCCCTTTCCGGGGGCTACTGCCGGTCCCAAGCCCGGGTAAAGCAGGAGGGTTGGGCATGGGGTTTGCGACCCCATCCCGTAGAAAACTAACTCGCTAAAAAACGCTAACCAGAAAAAATTATTCAAACCATTTAAACTCTGCCCTGGGAGTTAGAAGGTCTTCGTTTAGAAGAATTGTGACGCCTCATGATGAAAGCGGAGTTCCTTCGGAAGTCACGAGGTCGATGCCCCTTTTGACAACCAGAGCAACCATTTATTTAGGTACATGGAATGCTCGCACAATGTGGGAGACTGGGAGAGTCTTCCAAATTGCTGTAGAAATGAGGAGATACAACCCAGGGGTGCTTGGGATCAGTGAAACACATTGGACGCAAGTTGGACAACAATGACTAGCTTCAGGGGAGCTGCTGCTATACTCCGGACATGAACAAGAAAATGCTCCACATACACAAGGAGTTGCATTGATGCTGTCCAAACAAGCACAAAATGCACTTATAGGATGGGAATCTCATGGACCAAGGATCATCAAAGCCTCCTTCAAAACAAAGAAAACGGGGATTACAATGAACGTCATCCAATGCTACGCGCCTACCAATGACTACAATGAAGACGCTAAAGACCAATTCTACGATAGGCTGCAGTCAATCGTCGAGAAATGCCCAACTAAAGACCTGACTATTCTAATGGGAGACCTAAATGCCAAGGTTGGAACTGACAACACCGGATATGAAGAGATCATGGGACGACACGGACTGGGAGAAAGGAACGAAAATGGTGAGAGATTTGCAAATCTATGTGCCTTCAATAAACTGGTCATAGGCGTCACTATATTCCCACATAAACGCATACACAAAACCACATGGACTTCACCGGATCACACCACACAGAACCAAATCGACCATATCTGCATCAACAAAAAGTTCAGGAGGACGATGGAGGACGTGAGAACAAAGAGAGGAGCTGATATAGCATCAGATCATCACTTGCTGGTCGCCAAGATGAAATTGAAACTCAAGAGGCACTGGACAACGGGGAGGACAATATCACAAAAATTTAATACGGCTCTTCTTCGGGATAATGACAAACTCAATAAATTCAAGATAACCCTCAGCAATAAGTTCCAAGCCTTTCATGATCTACTCAATGAAGAAGGAACTACTATGGAGAGCAACTGGAAAGAGATAAAAGAAGCAATCACTTCAACATGTCATGAGGTTCTGGGCCAAAAGAAGCACCGTCACAAGGATTGGATCACGGTCGATACACTGGATAAGATTCAAGAAAGAAGGAACAAGAAGGCAGCAATCAATACCAGTCGAACAAGAGCAGAAAAAGTCAAGGCACAGGCTGAATACACAGAAGTAAACAAGCAAGTGAAAAGGAGCATCAGAACTGGCAAACGTAAATATGTGGAAGATTTGGCATTGACGGCGGAAAAGGCTGCCAGAGAAGGAAACATGAGACAACTGTATGAAACAACAAAGAATCTCTCTGGAAATCACCGTAAACCAGAACTACCAGTGAAAAACAAGGAAGGCAAGATAATCACCAACATTGAAGAACAACGAAACAGGTGGGTAGAACACTTCAAAGA